AATTTATTCCAACCACCTAATTTTTTTTTAAAAAAATTAAGTTAGTTCAAATTAGTGCTGTAGTGTAGACATGCCCAATTTGACTGAAACATTCTGTGAATTTGTGTTGAATTTATTCCAACCACCTAATTTTTTTTTAAAAAAAGTCTAATTTTGAAATGTATTTCCATTTTATTCATTTTTATTAAATAAATAAATAAATAAATAAATAAAAAGTTCCAGAGAAAATGAAATATTTAATTTCAAACAAAATGAAACAGAATGATTTCCCCCCCCCCCCCCATAAAATTCCAAAACAATTCATTTCAGTTTGATTCAGAATTAATTGTTCAATTTTTGTCTGGCTATTGAACAGAAAAGGTGGTCACTCTCACAGCTCTAGTCCAACGAAAAAAAAGCTTCAACTTGCTACTACTCTGTCAGAAGAGAGAGGTTTCCACAATTAACAGGACACAAAATAAGTTTGTTAAGAAGTATGCCAATTTAGTCTCCTCAAACTCCCAGCAACAACAGCTCAATCCTCTTCCTGCTGTGTCCCACCCTCCAGAAGCATTGCTGCCTGCTGGCAATTACCCTTGATATTGATATGCCAGCAGGAGTTTTCTGAGAGGAATGCTTACAAGACTAATTGCCAGCAGCTGTGGGGACTCCAGCTGCCTAAACCAGGGTTTTAACCTCTGGTTTGCCAGGCTATGTCTCAGGACACGTATTCATAGAAAAATTTTGCAATCAGTTGATCCAAATTTGTGTCCTGTAGCCTGGTTTGGTTTTTGTGCTTAATTATAGATTGTGGAAAGCACGGCACATGATCAGAAGATGAAATGCAAGTAGCCACTGTTTACTCTCAAACCATTTATTTCCTAATGATAAAAATGGGACACTGCATTAGAGCAAATTTTCCCCACAGGATGGCAGAACAATTTGGCCTTCTTATGAGGGCTTTTTTTTTTTTTACTTTACTTTCAATATTTGATGCTTTATAAGAATTTAATTAGCAGTCTCAGTCAGCTATAATAGATAGATTAAATGAAATGTAATGTCCAGGCTGTTTTCATGGCTTACTAAGGAGAAAACTGGATATAAGAATTTCTTTTCACATATGTATTGCTAATTACCATTTACTATGAAACTCCCATGGAAAGAAAATCCCACAAACTGTAAAATCTGGGGAATTCAGAATTTATAATAAGGTTTTGATTACTTCAAACTGAAGAATACCGGTTTAAATTAAAAGATGTCTTAGGAGACTCATTCTTCGCTGCAGCACAATGTGTCAAAAAGAGATAAAACTGAAAAAATACAATATTATTTGCTTTTAATTATGCAGCTAGCACGTTCTATTTTCAGTTTCGAAATCCCAGTAAAAGAAGTAGACTGTTTCTTCCAATAAATGTTATCTTCTGAGAGCTGTGAATTGAAGAGTACATTATATAAAAATATCAGTTATAGGTCATTGTGCGTGATTAATTTTGATGGGCATATAATACAAATCTGGCAGACATAAAAATCTTGGCAACAATCTATACATGCAGTGCTGGTTAATAAGAACACACAAGTTAAAATAAATCATGAACATTCGTTCCTTATTTAGGGGTTTGATTTCTTCATGACCCATAAAATGCAAATTAGCAAGTGAGTAATGTCCTCCAACCGGAGAGACAAGAAGCTAACTAAAAGCTTTGTGACTGTACTTCTCAACATTCTAAGCACCTGGGGCAACTTCTGTCCCCTTTTCATCTGCTTGGCACCAGCATCATCGTTGGCTTATCCAGGCAGTTTGGGAATCCTCCTGGGACAGGGAAACCCCAAACTGGCATGGAGGGACTTGTGCCAGCGTACCAGCGTGAATTTCACCTTCATGAAGAGATAGATCATGGATTTTTGGGAGTGGTAATCCATCTAGTGAATTGCACAGCCATGGGAGAGAATACCTGGCATTCTCAATGCAAAGAAAGGAGGTTTCACTAAACCCAAAGGCTTGTTGGTACTCTTATTTTTCAACACCATAGTGTTGGCATTAGCCACAGGGAGTTTGTTCTCCCAGTTACCCTGTGGGGCGGGGAATGTACTTCCCTTTCGTAGTTACTAGTCAGCCATGGTATAACACTGAGCACCCAGCAAAGGAAGGTAGGTACAGTCTTGGCGAGGAGGGATATCTTAGAGGAACATGTAAGTCCCTAAAGAGAGTCCTTTAAGAGAGTCATAGTTATTTCCATAGTTACTCCCGCAATTTACCCGCATTTCATTGAATTTCTTCACTTTGACATTCAGAGCACTAAACTCCTAATGGCATCTCAAAACAAAAAAAGAATAATCTCAGCAAATTCTGATGAGCTAGTTGAAAAGCAATGTGCATACGTGGAATTTTTTCTGATGTAATTTGAAGTTGATGTTTGACTGTATGCATTGCGCAGATCAAGAGAACAAAAATGTTCACCTACAATTACTTAAATGTTCACAAGGTAAGTACTCAGTATGAACACGATGAGCCGCAAAGGAAGGAATTTATGGCAGTATGATTCAGGATTTAATGGGAAAAAAGCAGACACTTAGAGCCTGGCTCTAAGTGAGAAGGAGAAGAAAGGAATATCTCCAAAGCACTGAGGCATATTCCTTGAAGTAGCTAAGTGAAGAAATGATTAGCAACCAGAGAGCTGAAGATCAGAGTGCTCTTAGCTGGACACAGCCCTGGGACAAACTCCATATGGTCTGATTCTCCTAACCCTTAAACACATCAGTGATTTTGCTTCAGTGCTCTAAATCCTCTTCCTCCACCCCTCTGTCTAGAGTATGCAGACTTGGAGCAAGGCTGGTAGGTTAAGAAGGTTGTTGGGGAGAATTTTACTTTTGTTTCAGAGAATCAGGGAGTTTTTCCTTAAGTGAAATAAAGGCAGCATTGATGGTTACCTATAGGTAAAGATAGAAGTTGGGAAGAGAAAGTGAAAGGCTCATAGAAGTATCTTCTCTCACTTCATTGTAGTTTCACCATATAGTTCAGTATCTCTGTCCGGTCTTTGACTGCCATTTAAGATTTCACCTCCTTAGTTCCATCCAGACATGGGATGTTTCTCCCATTTCTATATATTCTAGCCGAGACAGAGCTTTATCACCATTTTATATCACGTCTTCACACTTGGAGACAGAGCATAGACATTGCTGCAGGGTTTACTCCCCTAAATTATATGAAAATGGCACTGGATGACCCCACACATGAGTTTCCTACAAATCTGCTTTCTCTGTTTTCTGCTGTATCCATAGCAATACTGAGGAAACTAATGAGGTGTTAGATTGCAAATGCTTGGCCTTTTACAATTTGGCCATGTGCTTCTACTTTTACAATTTAGCCATATAATAATTAAATTTAATTATTTATTTAGACACAGATGCCTGAGAAAACCTCACATGGACCAGATATAGGTCAGATGTGTCCCCTAAGATTGAATTTTGGTGCATTAATCATGCACTGAAATCTTCTGAGATGGCCACCTGTCTGCATCCTAGGGAACTGGCCTCAGAAACTGAATTCTGCACACAGGTTCAGGAAATCGCTAGTAATGAAGTTGTCTTCTGTTCAAACCCTTTGTATAGAATTCATCCATATTGTTTTCTTTGATTGTATGCCACTAAAACATTATAGTACTGGAAAATAAAGCTATTAGTTTGATGTGGAAAAGCCTTGAAAATAGAGGTCTGAATGGGTTTGGGAAACAGAATATGAGGTGCCCATGATTTATAGCAGAGGTGGGGAACCTTTTTTGGGTTGGGGGCCGCTGACCCACAGAAAAATCAGTCAGGGGCCGTACAAAAGTGAGAAGCAAAAAAACGCACAAAAACAAAACAACCCCCCCCCACACCCAACCTCACTGATGTGGCCCCCAATGGAGGAGAAAAACAATTCTCACATTCCCATCACACACCAGAGTTTGGGGGGGACAAGTTAGTAGATTTTGTGTGACCCTCTAGGCTCTGGGATGCAGCCAAAATGAGGGGTTCAATGTGTGGAGGAGAGGGGGCTGTTGGGAAGCAGGCTTGGGGTGTGGGGTCTGGGTGAGAGAAAGAGTGAAGGAGTGGGCTGGGAGGGAAACCCCAAGCCTCGGGGGCCAGATCCAGGCAAGCCAGGGGCCACAGCTGGCCCTGGGGCCTTAGGATTCCCACCCCTGATTTACTGGTTTATCTGGTTCCTTAAATAGCCTAATGCAAAGCCACCATCATCTCCTGTTCATAGAGACACAGAACTGGAACCTGAACTCAGAAGCTGTTTGCTCCCAGGGAGGTTTCTGCCTCTAAAGGGAGAATCCAAAACTACTGAACCATTCCAGAGTATATTCCAGAAAGGAGTAATGGGCAAAAGGAAACAAGAAGGCACTCTCAGATCCTGTACTGTTAAAGATTAGAAAAGAGTTACCATCTTAGAAACTAAATCTACACAGTTGAGTCAGTCCCCTGAATAGATAACAACAAAGGTTTTAGGTTTTTTTTCCCATTTACTAGAAGGCTGTATTAGCCACTGATTTGCTCTGGTTCATGTAATTGTTTGTACATATATGGTTAGATCTGGCAAATGGATTTGCACAGGAACATGCCAAATAGCTCCATTACAGTGGGGCTGTATGCCGCTACAGGGATGTGCTGGTTGGATCCCTTTGCTGAATATAGTTCTAATTCTGTACATGAGTCATAAGGAGATGACTAACATGAGACCTACTCAATTTTGCATTAAGCATTTTAGGCGACAATCAAGTTTCTTCTTTTGCATGAAAAGTATTCACCAATTGTTTCCTAAGTTAGAACATTTTTTCCTTTTAAATATTTTTGATTAGCTAACATGTACAAGAAACCCTTTATCTTCTGGTGACAGTGTTTCACAATTAAAGGTAATCTGTGATTATCTGTGACTTCTATGTTTTTTTGAAAATTAATTCTGCAAAGAGCATACAAAATGAAAAGCATTTAATTAAAAAACCTTATTTATTAATGTTACATAATCATATCTTACATACCAGAATAACAAGGTCCTCTTGCTACCACTGTTATCTCTTTCTGATGCTTACAAGCAGCTCTCCTGAGGAAGCATTCATTTTGGTAAGTGTCTCCATTTGATCCACAAACAGGAATGTAATTTGTATGACACTAAAAAAAAAAAGTATAAAATAAAGTCAGTCATGTAATCACACATGAATAAATTTTAATACAATAACATCAATGTATAGCAAAATAGTCATGCAGAGAGGTAAACTGTCAGACTGCTATATAATAGAAAATTATCATCCTGTTTGGTTAAGAGTGACTTAAAATATCCTTTCAGAGGCAATGGTAATGATAGTCCATCTCTGTATGGGCTGCAGGGATTAATTTAGCAGGAAAGATTAAAAGAATTAAATATGTGTAGCTAGGCTGTAAAATGACTAAGGGGAATACAATAATCATCTACAATTATTTGAAGGGCAAAAACAACAAGAAGAGAGATAAGTTCTTTACGCTAAAGCAAGATAGTATAATTGGGAGTAATGTAATGAAATTGAGCAATGAAAATTTTAAGGTGAACTTCAGGGAAGATTTCCTCACTGCAAGATCATTTAGACTGTGGAAGTGTCTTTCAAGGAAGATGGCAAAAATCCCATCCCTTAAATATGCATATTCCTATTTATTATTTGAGTTTATTTGATTTAGTCAACGTCTGTTATAATACTTTTGTTATATATCGCAAGATACTGTGAGAGATCATTTGAAAAAAGAAAAGACAATACATTCAATAAATTAATGCCTGCCATGAAAGGCAATGACATGGCATTTTAACAACAGCTATCCCATCCTAACAAAGACAGAGCAAATATCTCCCTAAGCACAGTGTACATAAAAATAATCTAGAAAACATATTGTAACCCCACTCTCCCCACTCTCCAAATGCCCTGGCAAATAAATACCAGCTCACTCCCCATCAAAACCAATGAAAAAACTCCCAATGATTAGTCAGGGCCTGATCCAACTCTCAGAGGGTGTGTCAACACTAGCCCCCTAGTTCGAACTAGGGAGGCTAATGTAGGCATTCAAAGTTGCAAATGAAGCCCGGGATTTAAATATCCCAGGCTTTATTTGCATCTTCCTGTCCGGGCGCCATTTTTAAATCTCCTTAGTCCGAACTAACTGCCTGCGGCTACACGCAGCAGTTAAACGTTAACTCAAACTAAGTCCTCATGGAATGAGGTGTAACAGTTAACTCGAACTAAGGACTTAGTTCGAGTTAACGTTTAACTGCCGCGTGTAGCCGCGGGCAGTTAGTTCGGACTAAGGAGATTTAAAAATGGCGCCCGGACAGGAAGATGCAAATAAAGCCTGGGATATTTAAATCCCGGGCTTCATTTGCAACTTCGAATGCCTACATTAGCCTCCCTAGTTTGAACTAGGGGGCTAGTGTAGACATACCCAGAGTACACCACTTTCTGATCTATAATACCACAAGGAAAACCAGGGACTACGGCCTCATCTGCTCACACTCACTGCATCTGTTTAACAACAGGTGTGATGCTAATAATCAAACTCGTGCAAAAGGGTCTATACCCAAGGTTGCACTGGTGTAAATTTTATGTTGAGACGACCCCCCACCCAACATGCTCTGATGTCTGGATCAACTTCTCTGAGGACATGTCTACACAGCAGGGTTAAAATCTAAATAAGCTACGCAACTTCAGCTACATCATTTGCATAGCTTAAGTCGAAATAACTTATTTCAGCTGTTGGAGCTGTCTACACAGCAGGAAGTCTGAGAAAGAGCACTCTTCCTTCAACTTCCCTTACTCCTTGTAAAATGAGGGTTACAGGAATCAGAGTAAGAAGTCCTCCAGCTCAACATTATTTTGACATTATGTTGAAATAACTGCTTGTAGTGTAAACACCAGCTATGTTATTTTGGAATAACATCAATTATTTCGAAATAACACCGCTGTGTAGGCATGTCCTGAAATTACAGTTGTTCATTTATTTTTCGAATGTGAATGACTTATTTATTGAAATCACTTTTGGCATATGAGCAATCAAAATATTCCATTTTTAAAGTAATTTTATAAGAAATTATTCTTACTTCCCTGTCACCCTATCAAAAGTGACCAAGAATGTAATGAACTCCACACACATAGAAGCAACATGCCTAACTTGCTCTGAAAACTGCGCAAGGCATCTCTGCGACTTTATTTCACTGAGCAGCCCAATGACATTGCACCATGGCCTGTGAACCTCTCAGATCTCATGCTAAGTAGGGCTAAGGATATGGGAGAAGTATTTTGGAGAACTATATTTTCCAATGCCTATGTGCAATGTTCCCTGTAAGACAGGAGAGAGCAAGATATGGTCTGCGGATCATATTGGGCTGTCCAAGCCTTTCAATACATCCCACGCCCCACCCTGATGGGACTTTCAGGCACAGAGCAGCCCCACGGCATTCAGAGCGGCTGGCTGCTCCACATAGCCCTCCGTGCTGCACAACCCTGGGAGTTGGGGGGAAGAGGCTTCATGTGCTGCCTCTGTCCCAGCACAATCTCTCAGCTCCCATTGGCCAGAAACTCCCCCGACCCAATGCATGGTGCAAGAGAGCCACATGGAACAGCCAGCCACTTTGAGCCTGGGGCTGTGGCTGGCAGAGGGGGCTGCAGCAGGACGGAAGCCTGCTTGAGGGTTCTGCTGGGCTGCTGGCCAGGAGCCACCTAGGTAAGCACCTGGCTATAGTCTGCACCTGGCACCCCACCCCCTCCTGGACCCCATCTCATTGCTCCAGGTCACCACCCAAACCCTCTACACCATGCACCCCCCGGTCACAGCTCCCTCCCAGTCCCCTCCTACACCTCCTCCTCTGAGGCCAGAATCCTTTCCTCCACCCACATCCCCTCCCAGACTCTGCACCTCAATCCTCAACCCAAGCCCTATACACCCTCCTTCCCCCATGCCCCAGGTCACAATTCCTTTCCAGATCCCACACTCCCTTCTACACCCCTTCTCCAGGCCAGAGTCCTTTTCTGCACCCATGCCCCCTCCTGGACCCAGCACCCTAATCACCTGCCCCAGGTCCCAATCTCCTCCTTCACCCAAAGTCCCTCTCAGACCCCACACACTCTCCTGCACCCTTTCCTGAACCCCTACTCCAAGCTCCCTACTGCACCCAACCTCCATCCCAAACCCCACACCCCTCCATATAAAAGTGAGACCCTTGACCACTTACCAATACCTTGGCATGGTCCCCCATCAAAAATTATTGCCCACCCTATTTTAACCTGAGCATTTGGGTAGCCACCCAGGAGATAGGTACCACCCAAATGATAAGCAGAGTGCCCACGGCCAGGAGCATGTGCTTCTACTTGTGGTGCACATCTGTATAGGCCTCATAAAATTTATTCTGCACATGGATGGAAAATATTAGAAGGAACATTGCCTAAGTGTATTCCCCATGTTCAATCCACATGTTGCCGTGTACTATTTAAAAGCTGCCAGTTTCCACTGCCTTTCAGTGATACACAGATTGATGCTTGTTTTATATTTGTGTTTAATGCTTTGGGAACTTTGGCTGATATAAATGTCAATCATTTTTATTTTATTGAAATCCTGAAAAATAGCCTGTAAATTGCTCTGCAATGATCAAACCCTTAAACATCTTTATCAAAAGTGTAGCGAACATATCCCCCAAGTGAGCACAGAAACAAAACTATCCTTTTAAGGTTTACAGCTGCTGAATGTCAGGACGTCATTAAAATGAGCAAGGTCACTGAAAGGAAAGCACTGGAGAAATCCCCTAGCTACATGCATGCAGCCTCGTTTGCAAATGTAATTCTGGAGTCTTAAACTTCAAAATATCACCTAAACTCAATAGATGTGCTGGCTGCGAGAAAGAAAGAGTTGTTCATAGAAGGACTGAGTCCCCTGGCACTCTTCCTTCAAATGATGTTACATTCGTTTCAATGACATCCTTCTATTCGACAGCAAGTCATTTCCAAAGGGGCTTCCAAGAGGGGAAGTTATGATCCATTAAGTGCTTCAACTTCTAAAGGTTAAAAACTGAGAAGAAATGACACAAGCCTGGGATGTTGGTTAGTGGTTATTTCATTCAAAAGCTACACATTCAGGGAGAGAATCTCTCTCGTCGAGGAGCTTAACTAAGCCAGGAGAGTGCAGTGAGGAGATCAGGACTTGGTTCATCTCTCTGAACACCAGGGGAGATCTGTGCCAGCCATTATTTAAAACAGCTTTGTGGCTATTCTGTTTGGGTATGTCTACACTACCCCGCTAGTTCGAACTAGCGGGGTAATGTATGCATACCGCACTTGCTAATGAAGCCCGGGATTTGAATTTCCCGGGCTTCATTAGCATAAGCGGGGAGCCGAATTGCTAATGAAGCGTGAGATTTAAATATCCCGTGCTTGATTAGCATATTCCCGACCATTTTGGAAACTGACTAGCCCGAAGTAACTGCCCGCGTCTACACGCAGCAGAAAAGTGGAATTCTGAGATAAACCCTTTAGTTCAAATTAACTGTTATTCCTCGTGGAATGATATTTAAATCCCGCACTTCATTAGCAATTTCGATCGCCCTCATTAGCCTCCCTAGTTCAAACTAGGGGGCTAGTGTAGATGTACCCTGAGGTAGGGAGGGAAGGGGGCTGGGAGGGAGTAAAGTGGATCCACCTCCATCAGCTTTGCATGAGCTGAGAACTGTCCTCCAACAGGGACATTTTCAACTACAAGTTGAACCTCTGAAATCCATCACTCTCTGGTCTGGCTCACCCATGTTCCTTGAGGACCAGGGATGTTGCTGGACCACAGAGTCTGTCTGGGAGCAGGGGCCACCCAGGACGAAGAGCAAAGCCCCAGCAAGTGGCTGCAGGTCTGGCGGCTGTGAGCCCCTGCTGGGCCGGTGGCTGGTAGCAGCAAGGTTGGCATGGTAGGGAGAGTGGATTCCAGTGGCCAGGGCTGGTGCCCCTATGTGGGGCTGACAGCCAGGAGAGGAGCCTTGACCTCCCCTGGTCCAGCAAAATCCCTGGTTTGGGACTGCTCAGGTCCCAAGGGTGATCTAATCTGTAGCTAGTTACACCCAGAGTTTCGATAGTTATGAAAATGCCAAGATAGAACAGATCTTTGAGAAACTGCCG